CCTGGCCTTGAAAATCGTGGACGCCTCCTGGTACCCCCCCAAGGAGCGAAACGCCCGGCAGGAGTTCAAGGAGAGGCACATCCCCGGGGCGTCCTTCTTCGACATCGAGGAGTGCCGGGACAAGTCCTCCCCCTACGACTTCATGCTGCCCAGCGAGTCCCACTTCGCCGACTACGTGGGGGGGCTGGGCGTGAGCAACGACACCCACGTGGTGGTGTACGACGGGGACGAGGTGGGCACCTTCTACGCCCCCCGCGCCTGGTGGATGTTCCGGGCCTTCGGGCACAAGGAAGTCTCTGTGCTGAATGGCGGCTTCAAAAATTGGTTGAAGGAGGGGCACCCCGTCACGGCGGAGGTCACCCAGCCCACCCCGGCTGTCTTTAAGGCCAGGCTGAACAGGGCCCTGGTGAAGACTTTCGAGGAGATGATACAGAACGTGTCGTCCCTAAACTTCCAGGTGGTGGATTCCCGCCCCGAGGGCCGGTTTCGGGGGATCGAGCTGGATCAAGGTAATGGAGGTGGGACTGACACCTGCCCCAGAATGGGATGAATGTCAACTCTAGACCGGGAGTAACAGCTCCTGACAGCCATCAAAAAGATTTTCCTAATGCACAGGCATGCCTCGGCCCGACTCATTGATTACCTTAAGGGATCCACAGTTGCACGTTCAGACCCCAGTGCCATCACTGAATGCTTTTGTTGCAGTTGGCTATAAAGCTGCAGGAGGAAATAGCAGAAAAGGACTGCAGTCATTTGGTTCCAGGATCTCCCATTCCCACACCCTGCAGAAGTTTATCAAAATGCAAACATGGGAGGTGAGAGCTCCCAGGGGTTTGTTCAGGGGCCTATCTAAAACCAGCAGACACATAAAAAAATATCAGTATTCATACAGGCGCCTCTCACCATAATGAGTGCGCAAGCAAAAGCCAAGGTTTTAGGTAATACAGTACCCCAAGGGACATTCTTGTTATCGCTCTGACTTCCAGCAAATAGAGAATTTGCTTGAGCTGATCTTTGTTCTTTTGCTTATGTAAGAAAAGTCTGAAGCCTTTAGCAAATGTGTGGGGTGTCAGCCTCTCCCTTTTAGGTGCCCCAAGTTAGAGGAACAAAAACTGATTTCGTTACCTCGGTGAAACACTGGACACCCAATCAGCCGGGGTGGGAGAAGTCCTGTGCAGTGGGGACAGCAGGTACAGCAGTGTGCCTGAAATGAAATTGAAGTTGGTTAAAGGAGGCCCTTGCTGTGTAATTTAAGCCTTGGTGTACCCCAGAATAACCTCCCTTCCGAAAGGGTGTAAAGGAAACTTTCCTGACTGACCATTCAGGAGGCACTCTGGCAATCACACTCCCACCACTAGAGACTTTAACTCTGGGACCAAAGCCCCTTCTCAGCAGGCAGTTCCACTAAACTGATGGGTGCCCCACTTGACTACCTACACCCCCCACACACACTGAGACCAGGTTTTCTTACCGTCTCAAGCCTGGGTTTTCCTTAGCAGAGCCTCAAAAGTCTGGTTCCTTAAAGCAATTTATTAACAGTACAATAACACAGAAACAGCTTGAGCTTGTTCCTCCAAGGAGGGACCTAAACAAAGGAAGCACTGAACTTTTATGCCCTCCCAGTCTGTGTGTGACAAAGTCCCGGCTCTTCCCGCTGAGTCCTCGGCTCCTGCTGTGTCTCAGTGTCCGGTCACCTGGCTGTGCCACAGGTCCTGTGCCCTCTGCTGTGCCAAGGGTCAGCACCAGTTCCTGGCCTCCTGCCTGGGGCTCTCCCAGCCCAGAGCCCAAGCTGCGGCTGGCACTGCAGCTGCACGCCGAGCTGCCAGCACTGAATGTGTTCCTCAACAAGGGAATCACAGAAATGGTTGGAAATATAGAGTTTCTAGAAGAAGGCTCAGAAAAGCTCAGCAGCAGCTGTTGGGTCTGAGCAGAGCCCACCCTGCTGGTATATGCAGAGGGTTTCTGTGTTCCCCAGGCTGGCTGCCCTGCTGCCCCACAGGTTGTTGTCATTCTGTCCTGGCTGTTCACATGTGTGTGCGTTGCTGTACGGCCAGTTAGTGTGACAGCATGTCCTAAAGTACATTCCTGCATCCAAACTTTAGGAGCATTTGGCTGTAAATGACTGCACACATGGGTGGCCCAGGTGTCTACAGGGAGCCCCTCAACACATTTGATCTGCAGAAAGACAATGTGGAACCTGGGAGAGGTAATGGGAGTGATGGAGGAGTCTGTGGCTGGAGAAAGGGAAAGTTAGGCTTATCACTTTCTATTTCTTCTCCTACCACAGCCCATCAAAGTGACGGTTGAATTTTAACCTCAAGATGTGACTAAAATGCTCCTTGCTGGGAGCTGGTAGATTTTGCATTCTTCCCCAAGGTGAGAGTTGTCACAAGATGACAAATACCACAGACCCAACAGCATCTTCAAAACAGATTTTCCTTTGAAATGAGTCAGCATGGAACAGCTTATTTGTGGCGGTCCAGTTTTGCTTCCCACAGCAGATCCAGCAGGATAAGCACTCCAGCTGCAGCTGCTCATTCCACAGGAGCTTGACAGCTCTCTGAACCAAGCTAGCCAGTAGCAGCACATCAGCCAGCAGTGGGTAAAAGACAGTGCTTACACCTAAAAGAGCAATTTGAAATCAATGCTGATTAATTGCTGGGGTCATCCAATCAGGAGGACGCAATTTAAAGACTAATGGGTTTCAGGTTAAGGAACTTTCTGCCTTCTCAGGTGATTTCAGTTTAATTATTGCTTCAGTTCTTGACTTCCTAATTAAGTCAATTAATCTCTCCTGTTCTGTGAACTTCATCTCTAGAAGAGGCTAATTGCAGCTGACTCTTTTGCCTCTTTAGTTTTTCAGTTCTTTGTGGTAAGAATTAATTGTCCCTGTTTTACTTTTATCCTTGCTGGGATTTAGACCTCTGTACTGGTTAAGATAAGCCATAATATAGTACTAATTTTTATTTGGTGGGCGAGGTTCACCAAAGTTGCCAGAGTGGAATAAAGTGGGCATCTCTATAGACCAGGTCTCCTAGGTCTTAAATGCAGGTATTGCTTTGGATGCAAAGCTTGGATGTTCATGCAGAGTGTGCAGCAGAAGCCTGACAGATGTGCAGCCCTGACCTATGCACTGAGTAGTTCAAGGTGTCCCTGCACAGTGCTCTATTTCTGCAGGAACTAGCTGTCCAGGGCTGATGATAAAAATAATTACATGATGGTTGCCACTACTGATCCTCTCTGGCTGTCGGGCACTGAAAACTGATGAACAAGAATTATAGTTAACCAAATGCATACAGAAGAGTTGTGAATTTCTGAATTCTTTTGCAGACATCTGAGAAAAGAGGCAAAAGTTGCCAGGCAAGGACTCTATCATCTAAAAAAAGAGAGCAAACCCAAAATCATTTAATGAGCTTGCAGGTAGTTTTCTTCACTTTCTCAACCCTGAAGTAGTCTTTGTCTCCCTTCTGCATATAGAACTCTTCAGATTTTGCCCATTTTCCCAGCTCTCCATCCTGCCTGCCTCAAACATGAAGCTTTTGCTAATCTTGAATGTTCAGTGAAAATGAGAATGAAATGTACATTTTTCTTTCCCCTCTCCTCCAAGTGGATTCTGCAGCTGGGAGTAGACTGGCTTTGCTTTGATCCTGTAATAATACTTGGGGCACAGGAATGGAGAGTGAGACTTTATCCAAGTCTGTTTCAACTCACAGGAACCTATGAGGACTTTGAGGGAGCTGGCCAGGACCAAGCTTCAAGTGTTCCTTACAATGTGTTCACAGTAGGTTAGACAAGATCAGTAATTGTCCTTTCTAAGACATACCATTTGAATGGAAGAGAGAGATAAACAAGGAGGCAACAGAGGAGGCAATTGGAAAAGAACTATCTGCAGCCAGCACACTCCAAAGCCACAGGGAGTTAAATATGGGCTGAGCAAATCTTTTATCTTTTTGACATTAAGAAATTCCATCTGGAGCTTTCATCGCAAAGGGAAGGCTAAGAGAGGAGGGGCCATGGTTTTAGATAAATAGCCAACAATAAAAACAATATGTAAGCAGAGAATCAACAGATGTGGAAAAGGGGATTAAGTAGTGAAGAAGATAACATATTACAAGTTATAAATTGTGAGGAAGGATTGCTAGACACCAAGCTGAGTGAGACTTGGCAAAAGGAATTAAATAACAAAATCTTCTGGAACAGAGTGAACAAAAGAGAACAAGGAGAGAAAGAATAAATAAGGTTGCTGTGCAGTTAGCAGGGGTTCCAGGTGGAAGATAATTTGTGTGTGGTCTTGGCATTATACTGAGCCCTGAGTCTGTGCTACCATGTTTTCTTCTCTCCTATGGATAATTCTGCAGAGCAGGGAGAGGGCTAACCAAGAGATATTCCCATGCTCAAATCAGTGAGGCAGATGAGCTCGATCCCAAATATGTGTCAAAAATCAGTCATGTGATATTGGAACTCCATGAAGCAGGAATTTGATACATTTATTCAAAGCATGGTTCTATGGGACAGAAACAATTGCAAACTTCATCTTTAGAATAGGGGATACAGCACAACCTAGGCAGCTGCTGGTCTTCTACCATGGACATACTGGGAAACTTTCAAAAAACTCTTCAAGAAAAATTACTTTAAACAAAGGCAAAATTGAGTAAAATATGTTGGTAGACTTGCACTTCACCCAAGGGCTTTATTTCCTTGCCAACACAATTGGTTGGCCAGATAAGAGAAATGGAAACATGCATGTCTGGAAGTAATGTCTGATCTTTTCTTCCACCCATTGGAAGCATCTACAAGGTAGAGTTGTGCCATTTGCACTTTATTCATGCTTTGGGCATAACATTAGAGGGGCATTTATTAGGTCAATATGAGGAGAGGGCAAATAGCACAAGTATTGTTAGATTTCAAAAATTGACTGAAAAGGAGATAAGTGAGATGAGAACAGCATGTACTGAAAGAAGATCTGTGGGGTTGTAAGTTGCCAGCACGGTCCCATCATTAAGCTTACATGTTTTGTTTTGTATTTTCCTGAATCATCAAGGCTTTGAACATAGGGAGTTGATACTAAAATGTGCTGTGGGACAGCCATGGGAAGGTCTAAATGATCACATGGGGAGAATGATGTGAGGTGCCACCTGCAGATGTATGTGTGTATAACAGTACAGAGAGCAAACTCAAGTGCTTAGTAGCCCAAAACTGAACTGCTTGTGTTTCTCCTACAAGCCAATAATCCACATTTGGAAGCAATAGAAGAGGGTAAGACTTGGATTAATTAGTTGGGTGCAGGAACATCACATGTGATTTAACCTTGGCAACAGCCTTGGCAACTCCTGTTTGCCAACTGTGACGGTAGGAAATGCCACTTCTTTGTCCAGAAGCCTGCTGGACACCTAGAGCTGATTTTGGGGTGGCCAAGACAGAGAAAAGTGTATCTAATTGGCTCTTACTGGGTTTAGGCTAAGGACATGAGGTTGTTGGGAGTGCTGAGGGCTTGCCATCAGCCTGTTGGAGCAATAGCAGAAGGGCAGAAAAACTATTTCGGCCATAGGGCAGTGTTAGCTCAAGGATAAATGGTGTATGGACTGACTGTGATGATCTGAACACTGGAAATTAATGTTCCTCCTCACATGAGCCAGGAGGTACTTCAGTGGGAAGTTTCATGACAAGAATCCAAACTGTTCTGAGATGGATGCTTTTTTGAAAGTCATATAAAATGACTGCTGAGGTAGCTGGGGCCCAGGCTCTGTAGTCCTAGGGTTCCTTCCTGGAGTTTCTGATGGTGACTGCATGAATCTGGTGTGGAGTGTCCTCTGTTTCATATGGGACAGGAGCAAATGTATCCTCTCCCCTGTTCAGATTTCAGCTGCATCCAGCCTTGCCTTCCAGTCCTGTCTTTCTCTGCTCTTGACCTAGCAGAGAGAGATTATAAAGCTTCCTCAGCCACTTGAGAGCTCTTAGGCAGTCCAAGCGATTGTGGTTGTGCAGTTTCAGCTCTTTTTCTCAGCTGAACACCCACATATGTGAATAAATGCAGTTTCTACAGAATTCTCCATCTTTCACCCACAGAGTGCAAACACTGGTCTCTGACTCCAGCAGACTTTTGGATCTCTGGAGCAATAAAGTCTCCCTAAAGATCAAAGTCCAAACTGCTCTAAAATGAGTGGTTTTTTCAGATCTGCTCACCTCCTACCTGAAGAGTTGTTTAAGGGTGATGAATTATCAGTCTCCAATAAGAGAGGTACAAACCTATTTTAAGGTGTGTGAATAGTCTAGAGAAGCAATAATGGTCGTGATGCCTGGGACACCTAGAAAGTGAATCTATGGCCCAGCAAACCTCTTGGAGCAAGAGTTCCCTTCTAGTTCATTCTCCAGGAGTTCCTGGTCTCAGGACACATCCCAGTGCCCTAGGTGGCTCACAGACTTTTCTGTATTGGGGTGATCACCAGGACTGCAGCAGAGCCTTGCAGAAATCCTTTGCTGAAAGCGTCCTTTTCCATTTACTGTGGGAAAGTGGTAGCCTAACCCAGGCACGTAAGAGGCTTCAGTAAGCAGCTTTGCAGTCTGAGAACCATATACAAGGTTTTCTCAGTTTTTGCTTCATTTTTCGTTTCCTTTCTGTCATACAGACACTGTATTGATAAGTGAGTTTTGGAGATCTCTGTACTGAAGTG